GCTCGCCGCGGCCGACTCCGTCAATGGCCACCTTTAAACTTGGGCGAGTGCAGCGTCCTGTCCTCCGCAGCCTGTCTCTGTTCTCAGACAGTACCTGCAAACCTGCGTTTACTCCTGAGCGCAGCCCACAAGTTTCTACCTTCCATCCAGCTCCCCAAAGTGAAGGACAGTTTTACACCTTCCCGCCTTCCCGGGGGACAGGGGTGCAGGAGGCAAGTAGAGGGAGGATGGGTCGGCTTTGCCTTCGGCGGGCAGTTTGCATTTTGAGAATCCTCCTGAGACGCACAACCCGAGCAGGAGGGACAGAGCCCCTGGGACGGGCTCGAGGGAAACAATAACCCGGTTCACGCCTCACTTGCCCCGGGCTCCTGCCACTGGCTCTGTCCCAGGTCCTGGGAGATGGTGATTCCAGAGCCTGGGAAACCCGCCAGGCACAGGACGGCCTTCCTGACCCTGAGGTTAGAATCACATCCAGGCATCCCCAGTTACAATGCTTAAAGAAAACGTATTTTAAAGACAGTGTTACCCAAGGTCTTGTATTCTACAGTGCACACAATTGGGTACATCAGGTGCCATCTGATGACCTGGCCTGCTTTAGGACCCCCCAAGCCCTCTGTAGACTGGTTTCTATAGCAATGCATGATACAGACAGGTGACTGGAAACTTGGAGCACAGACTGCAGGACAGGGTCACTAGCTCTGAAACAGTAACACAAGCATTTCCGAGCGTGGAAACCGGTGATCAGAAAGTGTGGAACTCCAGTGCTCCACGCAATTCGAGCAAGACTGTTGTTTCAGTGGGAGCGTAATTCCCTTTTAGGAAAACAATAGAAATTTCTTGCAAGCCAAATGGGCTTCTGGGAAAGCAAGTTTCTCTGAGACTATGTGGCTATTTTGGTGTTTGTTTTAGTCAGCTGAAGTCCACACTAGCGATGCGTCTGACCACACTCTTATTTTAAACATTTTGGCTTCTGCAGATTTTATTTCAATTTTGAAAGCTAGAAACCTGCTAACGTTCAAATTCCCAGAATTCAAGTAGCCCTCACTCCAGGTAGTTCCAAATGCTGATAGGCTTTTCTTCCATCTATTTTTAAAACATTTTTTTGGAGCTTCCATTTCTCTCTGCTTAAATTATGAGGTTGAGTTATTTCTAAAATCTGACAAGAGTCACATATTGGTCATTCTTCTCCCTGCTGCTTGATACAAGATAATTGTCAAAAATATAGTGCAGAGATCTTTCAGAGTTACTATCTGATTAAGTGTGTGTGTAGAAGAAAAGATCTACTGGACTGTACGCTGAATTATTAACAGAGGCTAACTTGAAGAAGTGGGGAGGCGAAACTTGCTAATTCAGTAACTTTCAACCTTTTTCAGCTCATGGCATACATAAACTAATTTCTAAAATTCTATGGTGCACCAAAAAACATATTTTTGTGCCAATCTGACAAAAAAAAAGGTATATGATTGGTCATAAGAAAGGACGCTGGACTGACTGAGAACCCGCGCAGAATTTGCCTCCCCCATTTGCTGTTCCTGTAGCCTCTTGAATTCATCCCAGCAGCTGCCCTGGGCTCCCACAGTTAGAGCCACTCTGATATGCACTGTGGTCAGTACAGTGCAATATAAATGGTAAGCGTGGGATTAACTCCTCTGTGGTGAGCTGAAACTACACTTCCAAAGCTTGAGCGTCATTTCTCAGTTCCAGCATCTCATTACTTATCTCTTAGAATTGTACTGTATAACTGTCCCAGGTCAAATAATGGAAGTCTGTCTTCATCACAGTAAATGAAAGTTGCCGTTATGGGCTCCTTCCTTTCCATTTTTCTTTTTTGAAGAGAGTAACTTTCCTATCTCTTTCCGTGCTATCAGTTGAATCATTACTGTTTATGATAAAGCAAAAATCTCTTTGAAAGCTGTTTTATTTCATAAACCACTAGATATTTACTTACAAGAGAGGGATGCGTATAACCTTCTTCAACTACATGCTTCAGTCTTCATGTGAACATCAAATATGATTACATGTGTTCAAGCATTTTGTAAATTGTCAACTATTCTGACGATATTATGCATTATTATGTTTAGTCTTGTGTGTATCCCAGTCATAGAAAAACCCTTTATCATTGCCAAAAGTAAAATATATTTCCATCTGTGTGTTACTATCCTGCCAAGATTTCATACACAGGCACGTGTATGTCACATTTCCCATTATGATCCACAATATCAACCATTATGTCACTAATGTTTATTATGTTTATTTTTATTAATTATCTTCTATTCTGATGTATTAAAATTATAAACTACAAAATGACTAAAAACCAGCATATAACTAGCAATATGTGTGATGAAAGAGTGACTGCATAAACCAAGGAAACCTTTCATGATCAGATACTGTGTTTAGATTGACTTAAGTTTTCATTCATTCAATGAGTATTAACTGAGCACCTATTATGGTCTTGGGCACTGGGTTTAGTGTGGTTAAAGTAAAGAGGCACAGCCCTCGGCTTGTTGTGCTTATAATTCCACAACCTTCCTTTTCTAAGTAAGTGAGAATTTTATCAAAACATCTGATTTCAACCTTTGAGGTTGATATTCTTTCTAACTGTATTTCTTCTACTTTCTGTGTTAATAAATAAAATATGGACTGAAGCAACATTTTTCTTTCTTTCTTATGAAATCTGCAGTGCTTCAGGTCAGCCCTCTTAGTATCAGCTGTTATTGTCCACATGGGTAGAGGGGTCCTAGGAGGTCGGCTGTGTCTGTGCTGAACCTGGACTGATGGGTGCCAGAGTTCAGAGGGGCATGCAGGGAAGGGTTAGTTCCCAGAAGTAGGCTGAGCAACTGAGGCTCCAGCAAATGACCTGGAAGCAAGTAGGCTTGTTCTGGGAGACAAAGCACATGCCTGGGGGGTCATGGCAAGAGACGTCTGCAGTGCCGGTGGTCTAGTTGTGAGATGAAGTGTAAGGCTTTCCAAATAGGTAACTTGGCATCCTGGGATCCAGGGCAGGGGAGGGCCTTTGGAGCTTCAGGCAGGAAGGCTGGCATTACCAAGAGATTCATCTGTGGATAATAGCATCCCAACCCTGTGCAGAGCTGAAGATCCAGAGATGATTACTGGTCATTGCAACAAACCCAGTTAAAATAGCGAGGGCACCGAAACAAGGCCATGGTCAGGATCCCGGTTACCAAACCCGGGGCCCTGTGGTGCTGAGTCAGTCAGGCGAGTTTCCAGCCCAGGGTCCATGGACGGAGCCTGATTGGGGTCAGGAGGAGGGCTGGTTTGCAGGTGGGAATCAGCTCAGCCCTACGGGGTGGAGCGCTGGAGGAGAGGAGGGCAGCAGACGGGGCCCTGCCTTTAGTGGTATAACTTGTTCACTTGCCAGAGGGCATCCGGCTGGCGGGGAGGGCAGGTGGCACTGGAATCCAGCCTGCATTTTGTTCACTGAGCCCTGTACCCGGTGCAGGGCTGCCATTGTCCTCAAGAAAGGTTACTTTCTCTGGTTCATAAAAAGGCAGCACATGGGCAGTATTGACTTTGGAAACATGACATTTGACGACTTGATATTCAGAGGCTAGAACCCAATTTAAAATATCCCAACTGATGGGAGTGTATCTTAGACCTCAGTGTGTTAAGGCAGAAAAAAAATCTTGAGAAAAATCCTAAAGTGTCCAGGCTGGAATCTCAGAAACACCTGATGGTAAATGAAGTGCCTATAGATGCAAAATGCCTTCGCAATTCAGATCATCAGTCAGAAAAGTGCTTCTGAAGCATGCTCAAACTACTTGAATTTACTCTACTTAAAGATATATATATATACACATATATATATATCTTTATATATATAAAACCTTTATATATATATACATAAAACCTTTGGACAATTTTTTATAATTTTGGCTGACCAACTATCACGCTCTGCATTACAGAAGAGATGTCTACAGTTACTCCTTGCTGGGCAGTCTATTTCCATTTTAGACACAAATTTAACTGAGATCTGACCCCTTTGATTTACTCTCCCGTACAAAAGGACTAACCTTTTAGAATGTGATTATACAGCATGATAAAATATTTCACTATGTA